GGGAGCGCCGCCACGCTCCCAAGCGGCGCACTGTAGCAGTGCGCCACCGGGCCGGCCCGAACACTTTCAATTATTTTGATGTCTTTGATTTACTTGGAAATCCTATGTAACAGTTACTCCAGAACCCTGACAATTGACCTTAGGCAGCTGGGTGCCCTCTAGAATGATTTCCAGAAGCTGTCCAGCTATCCAGTATCAGGCTTCCTGATAGTCTGAACTCCTGGAAGGTGCTTTGCTGATCCTAGCAGGTTCTTTTCCTCATTAAACTCATCTCACCATGAAATGCAAGAACTTTCTACATTAGGAGCCAGTTTGATCTTTATGTTAGTTACATTCTTAATTATTCAGTTGACAAGCTTACTTATTGACATGAAATAGACTGTTTCTCTTCCAGGGAAATATTTGCTTCTAAGACTAAAAGAGTAGTGTTTAAGAAAAATGGAAACAAATCCTTCCTACCTCTCTAAGGCAAATTTAAATCAGCTATAGGTTTATCTACTAAAAAGACAGTTTCATAATGAGCAACACAGACATACATTCTTTCACTATTTTTTATTTTAATTTTAAAAAGTGATATTTTCATAAGATTAAAAAACTAAGCTCAGTGTTCTTTCTCTTTTCAGGCGGTCCCGGAGGAAGATGCAGACAGTGTCAAATATTTCCATCACAGGGATGCTTGTCATGTACCTTGTTGCTGCCCTCTTTGGTTACCTGACCTTCTATGGTAGGTCACTCTGTCCAAGTCATTCTCTTTGTGCAAAGCCCGGTTAGACTGATCATTGCCTGGGTAGGTGTAATTCTTTTAATTGCCCTCTATAAGCAGCATGATCTGTAGAGGACACATACTTAATCATGCTACTTTAGCTCTGTCACTCGACTTAAGGAAATGGGGCCTGAACCGGCCAGGCTAGCAGGTTACAACAATTTGTGAATTCATGCACATTTTATTAAAAAAAAAAAAAAAATCTCTCAGGTTATTTTCCTTCAGGCATAGGTGATATTTCTTTGGCTTGTCTCCCTAGTCCATCTCAAGCCAGAAGCAACAAGAGTGAATCCAGTTGCAGGTGGTAAAGCTCTTATGAAGGAATAATTAACTGCAAAGCAAATGGCAGAAAAAGTGCAAAGTCTTTGAGTTTGAACTCGTTTCTTATTTACTAGTCAAGTCAAATCTGGGTTTAGGCATTAGGAAAAATTTCTGGCTTATCCCATTAGTGAATGGTTTCCTAAGAAAGAAAAACATGACAGAATTTCCTTCAATCTGGGAATGTTCTACCAAAAAAAAAAAAAAAGTTACTATGGTCACATTAGATTTTTCCTGAAACATCTTTTCTGAAATCTTAGCAGTACACAAAAGGAGTACTTATAGACAAATTTCATGGAATCAGATGTTGACCTGGTAGCATATGTTCACACTAATCAATGTAACAACATAAATATATTCTTTGTATAAATCTCTCTGACTTTTTGGATTTTTTTTTCTGAATTGGTAAGTTAAATTGATAGCATGCCAAGTTGGGGAGGATAAGACTCCACAGGAGGCCTCCATTCACTTAGGTTTTTTCTATTTGACTAATATTTGACTACTAGCCAAGCATTCTGAATTGGGTCCCGTAAGTTAAATTGATAGCATGCCAAGTTGGGGAGGATAAGACTCCAGAGGAGGCCTCCATTCACTTAGGTTTTTTCTATTTGACTAATATTTGACTACTAGCCAAGCATGTGCTTTAGATTGGGCATAGGTTAATGAAAGCTGGGGCCAATATCATTGATGGTATTTTTTACCCCTTTTTGTCTAATCTTAGGTAAGTAGCAGGAAAATCTATCATGATGTAGAAGAACTACATCTGCTTCATTTGTGTCTGGAATTCTGAATGAATATGTGTTTACAAAGGGCAGCATCTTAATCTTAGAGCAGTAATTATTGGGAAGCCCTGTAAAGTCATACTAAGTCATCCTTAAATGTTGCTTATACTTACTGTAATGAGTTTCATAAGATAAATAAAAACTTTAAAAAGCCCAAGAGTGTGTGTTTCAGTGTTGGGATAGAGTCGTAGTTGTTGAACTTGAGATAATGTGAGAGATCATTGTCCTGGAGTTTCCATACTGGGTTTGAAGAAGCTGCGTCAGAAGCGGTTGGACCTCTCTGGTTTGTCTTGCTTCTGTATAGCAAAGATAGATTTATCAAGATAAAAATGAACTTGAGAAGCTCCTGAACAATTTTATGTTAGCTCCTGCAACTTTATAAGTTTCAGGACCCCTTTGTTCATTTGAACAAACGTCATGTAGCTAATAAGTTCAGAGACAAGGCAAGAGCAGAGGTATGTGGATTCCCAGACCTGGGTCTTTTCCACGGTACTGTGTTCCCTTCATAAAATGTTGCTGTATGTAACCACAAGTGGACCCATTCTCTTCTACCTCTTTGTAGGAGAAGTTGAAGATGAATTACTTCATGCTTACAGCAAAGCATATACATTTGACACCCCTCTTCTCATGGTACGCCTGGCAGTCCTTGTGGCAGTAACACTAACTGTGCCCATTGTCCTGTTCCCAGTAAGTACATAAGGCTTTCGTGACATCTTTTGACCCCATAGACTAGTATGTATGTTCTGACAACGTGGATTTAATTATCATGTAAGTCTGCAATTGCAATGGCCAAGGACACTATTATTTTCATATAGCATTTTGGAGCCACTTAAAGTTAACCATTTAACATGCAGCTATAGCAAGTATTTCAGGTGGTATTTTTAAAGTATAGGAAAAAATCTTGAAATTTATTTTTAAACTCAAATTCAAAAAGTAGTGCTTGAGCTTCTGTTTTGTGGATTAGTAAAAATGAATAGGAGTGTATATAACTTCTGAAACTTGAAAGCCAAAACCACAATAAAATTCAAATTATATTGCATTTTCACCAAAGTTTTGAAGATTTTTTTTTCCAGTTTGTTGTGCAATAACATCCAAAAGTTACCTTATTTAATCTGATGCCTCAAAGGCTAATGAAAAGGGGATTCATGTTAAGTAAATTACATATTAGAACAAAATTTCTCAAAAATTGTTATGTTACCATCATATATCTTTTCCACTCCTTCATTCCCCTAAAAAGAAAAAAACTGACACATGACACACACCGTATTGAGACAGGGATCGCCCTGCTTGGCATTTGCCATTGGCGACAGTTTGTTCAGGGATCACAGAGCAGGGCTGGTAGTGGAGATTTGGGCTGCAGGAGTTAAAACCACCACCCACGGATAAACACAGGTCTTTCACCCTCCTGCCAACTCTTCTCCTTTCATAAACACTGAATTTACTCATTCATTTTAGGGAGGAACATCAGGAACACAGTAACCAGCTCTGTCCTGTACAAAATGTACCATATAGGACCAAGTGTTTGAGAACTACTTCTATAATGACACTGTGGTCGCTTTCAATGCAGCTTGTGTGCTGAAATATACTTTGGCACATTCTTTTTTCATGAGTGCATGAAATCAGATCCTTATTGCTATGGAGGCTAATATTTTACTCTTAAATAATATCTTGCCTCTAATATATCTGAAAGTATTTCAAGGGACATACGCACAGCTTTAGCCTAAAATCAGCTCCACCTTGGGTACAAGAGAGAAGGCAGCTGTCAACAGAAAGTGTTGTACAGGGTAAAACTGCCAACCAAACAGCTTCACTGAGAAAAGAGTATCTGGAACTCTTTTTTTCTATGTAAAGATATCACTAACTAAATTTTGGCACACAGTAGGTACTTATATTATTGTTGAATCAAAGCATTTTATGAAAGAAATCTGTTGTGTGGTTCTATATTGCTTTATTCATAAGCCCTAAATATAGTGTGTTCAAGCTGTGGTCTCAAGAGATTGACGGACTTGGTGGAGGTCGCACAGCTAGTTGGTAAGAGTTGAACTAATGCAGTGCTCATTTCATAACACTGAGAGCCGCAATTCCTGTAATGGGAGGTAACAATCAGCCTTCCATTTACTGATGAACATTTTACTTCAACATTGGAAATCCACATCTCGCCTTAGAAAGTCTTCTCCGGTGTGAGAGATAAAGCACTGGTATACATCTGACCACCAGGAACAGAAACAGTTTGTAAATATTAGATGCCATTAGAAACAAAACTGACCATGGGAACGAAAATTCAGAAAAATAACTGCTATCCTTTGTTATGTATTTTCACTCAAGATTAGCATTTATGAAACATTTTGCACATACATCTGTCTTCACCCTTATAATGTTACCGTTAACTGATCTATGCAAGTGCAGCCATCCGCATGGGGTGCTAAGTCCCTGGAGGCTGGGGTTGCACGGTGACCGGCACAGAGGATGAGCTCAGTAATGTTTACGAAGAAAAACGTTCTGCTAATGAATCTGTTAACTGATCCATGCAAGTGCAGCCATCCGCATGGGGTGCTAAGTCCCTGGAGGCTGGGGTTGCACAGTGACCGGCACAGAGGATGAGCTCAGTAATGTTTACGAAGAAAAACGTTCTGCTAATGAATCTTGCCTTTTCTTGAACTGTATAAACTCCTTTCAAATAGCAAAAGCGTAGGCTATTTCCCTTGCTGACATGTGCCTTGAATTCAGTTTGGGTGAGGATCTGGGCTAAGTGAACCAAACCTCAGTGAATGAGACAGAGGCATAGAGATGGTGACAGATCAGTGAGTCCAACCTCCTTGTCCCAACCAAGTCCTGTGAGGCTAGATTCAGATACTTTTTTGCCACAGTGATAGAAGTTGTGAGAGTGTTTTTCCTTGTTTGCTTCTTATAATTTAGAGCCAAGATTTTCAGTGTGTTGACTGCTGAGTCACAGCATGGTTCTCCCGACAGGTTTCTCTGATGCAAGAAACTCCTAACCAATAACAAGTTTATTTACTTGCCTTGCTATCTCCACATATGAATAATAGAACAAATGAAACCTAATCTGGATTAAAATTTATCTGTTTTAGGTACTATTTAGGTTCCCTTTCTTTCAACAAGTGATAAGTGGGCTGGCTGTCTTTTTTAGGCGCCCCAGAAAATATAACAGGGGTTTGTTTGTTTGTTTTTCCTTTCTCCATTCGTCATATTTCTTTTCTCCAATTATTTCAGTTTTTTTCCTTTTTAAGAA